AAATAAGCTAGGTTCGTGAAGGTATGAAATAAACTACCTCATGGCAAGATTATTGGCGAGGAAGATTCGTCGTTCAAAATTCGATAGCGCAAGTTTCAACTGTAAAGGGGACGAGGATATGTTTTTTAGATTGGGCAAAAGATTGGTGAGAAGATATAGCAGAGAGCCTGCAAGTAAAATGGGAAGAACGGCTTCTAATCATACACCCATTGCAAGCAGGTTATCAGTGAAGTAGTCACGACGTCAATAATGATACTTATATAGGAGAAAACGACTTTTATATTGGTTGTGATGATGAAGAAGGCACACCAGGAACATCTATAATGAAGCAAACAAAAGAACAGACACAGATCTACTTTTCAGGGTATACCATAAGTGCAGATATTTAAAAAAAAGTGCTTCGCAAAATGTGTTCGGTTCTCAAGACCAGAGCGAGATTTTGCAAGCTGTGTGTATGCGAAACTTTCATACAACATAAAAATTATAGAACCGAAACGCCATATCTACGTAACCCCAAAGACAAAATTTGCTGCAATATACCGATACCAACATGAAATGTATGCAGCAGAATATGATTATGAAAATAAACGTGAATTAGTTATAAGGAAATAAATTTTTGATAAGATTAGGGAGTAAAACAAATGACTGGCTTAGCGCGAACAATGACTACAGCATCTGCAGCATGCATAGGCTGGACTTAGACCGGACCTTATTTCGATTATACTAATTGGAGAAATAAAAGACAGTTCAAATTGCATAAGCTAGAATTAAGGGCTAGCAGTTTTTAAAAGTTTATTCATTTATTTGATTGCTTAATTCTAGAATATAAATAAAACAATAATAATATAATATAAATACGCGTCCTGTGTGATGTGGAAAATTGGATAAAATATGTGAAATATACAATAAAATCGAGGTGAATAGAAAAATAGTTGCGAGGGGTGTTTCTCAGTTTTATGCCGTGTAAATTATAAAGCTTATATAGCTTCCATGAAGTTCATAAAATGTTTTTACATGTGACAAAAGTGTTGAAAATAGGCTTTCATTCGCAATACATTCAAAATACATGCAAAACAAGTATTAAAAGATGCGGAACAATTAAACAAATTTTTACTGTTTTTGCTAAACACATCATAATTTTGGCAATGCGGGACCCCTTCAAGTCGTCAATGCAATGCAAACTTTTCGTCAACGATTATTTCGTGCCAGTCTACCAGGAAGAATAATTTGGAAAGTTCCTTTGCTTAGAATACCTAATTTGGAAAAGAGGAAACACTTTCTTTCCTCTAGCCAAAAGAATGGGGCAGACCAGGAGAAACATACCTTGGATCTATAAGCCAAAAATAAATTTGTTTGGGAATGGTGTGCAAGAAATGTACGTCAGTCAAAAGGAAAGAAATTCCATATTAGATTTATTAAAAATGTGTAGTGAAGTATGGCGGAAGATATCACAAACATCTCAGAGGCACTACGGATGGATTTGCGTATAAAAACGTGCTGTAGACTGTAGTGCTACCACATTCCTATCAATTTGGTGAAAGCGTGAATTTCGGTAGCATAACTTGGATGTCACTGAACAGCCAAGTCACACTCCCGGCCTCAATTTTATTGAGAATATTCGGAGAGTCATATTTTCTGTAGCCTTAAAAAGAAATTGTAGAGAAGTATTGTCCCAGTAGAGACATGCGATAATTTATTTCGTCCATGCCTGGAAAAATCGAAGCTGTCCTTAAAGACACAAGTCTGCCTATATTGACTACCGACTGTCTGAATTGATTTCTAACTATTGCGTTACTTTTAACTCTTTATCTACATACGTATTTTAC